TTATTGACAGTCCAAGTACGTCACTTTCAGGTTATTCCATTCTCATTCATTTTTGAAGAAACGCTTCTTGCACTTACTTCATTAGCAGTTTGTCACATTCACTCGAGCCACATTAATCTGCTATCATCTGCGAGACGAATAATTTGAGAATCAGCGCCATCTTTCAACAATCATTTTGGTTGTTTTGCTCAACAATCGTTGTAGTGACTGTTTCTGATGTCTCTTATGAGCATTTACATGAGTGATCCGATTGAATGTTAATACAAAATGATTACTTCTTAATAGACAACTTATTCAACCAATTACTCTAAGTAATCCGATACATTGAGATTCTTCGATCAGTTTCGTTAAATTTTCAAATCTATCCAACGTTATATTGATTTCAATCGGATTTATTAATGCCATGAACTCGCCATGAGTGGTCTGAACAGCTGACGATCAATGGCCAAGATAAGAGATAAGATTGTGAAACGAGTCGTGATGGAAGTCGTGATGAACAATGATACTGATGAGGAAAGGATAAAATAAATGACTAAGGACAGTGGTGAAGGACAGTGTTTAGATAAGATTAGCGGTACTGATCTGCGAGTTATACGCAAGAGCGCAACGCTACGTCGATAAATCGACCGTCCATGAACTATTAAATTCACGGCGCACGGTTCACCGTTATCGTGTGAATAATATCTTGAAAATACAATTAATCGCAGCCAACCTTTCTACTCTCTTCTTCGTTTCAACTGTATTTTTGTGAATGCACAACTTTGTTGAGGGGACATTATGAATAAATTATGCAATGATACTATGCATGAATGATTCTATAAATGAGTGATACTGTAATAAGTGATATCATACCAAATAGAAACTTGTAAAGATTCTGCATTCTGCACCATTTTTCTTGACTCTTTTGATGTTTTCGTGACCTTTCGATCTTTTCGATGATCTGTACACATTGATGCACATGCTTTGCTCTTATCTCAAGAACAGATCATTGTCCGTAACTGATGATTCGTTCCAAGTAAAATGAGGGACATGATAATAATGAATTGAGCAAAAAAATTATTTCTGCTAAATGAAAGCGATAGAAAATCAGTTTCAATGGTACATGAAAAAATTTGAAGATGCATCTGAAATTTGAAAATTCTCTTCGTTTGCAAAACTCATGTGAATGAATACTACGCTGCACGCGTAAACGTGAAGGTTCAACAGTAAACGATTGATGTGGGAATAAATCAAGTAACCGACTTAATATTGTTTCAGAGATGGAATCTTCTGCAGCTTTATTGCCGTTACTCGCTGAATATCTCATCATCAATGCACCGTCACTGCTTGATGACTTCCTTGATGCTCAACTTGCCATCTCTTCATCGGTTTCGAATGATTCAGGTAGGATATTTGACGGTTAACACTCTCGGCTAACGACTAGAATGTTACCCAGCAGGACATTTACGAAGACATATCAAAATGTATCTGTACTTATGAACGAATTCCATATAAATAATGAGTGTGCTGAAAATTTTCACCACATTGCCTCGAAGCTTTCAGCGCAATTGATCAAAAATTTTTTCTAAGTTATTGAGGTCAAAATTCGAGAACGTCTCGAAAATGGCTTATGAAGATAATAACAAAACACTCAAATCGAAATTAACTGCACACTCACGAATTTAAACGCAGCTACAACAGATCGCACACAAACTGAAGTTATTTTAGCAATAGTTTCTTACAGTAATCCATGCGATACC